CACCAAGATAATACAAGACGAGAAGGACTCAGAGAAGAGCAAATATGTCATCAACGTCAAGCAAATCGCCAAGTTCGTCGTCAACCTGGGAGAGCGCGTCTCACCTACCGACATCGAGGAGGGAATGCGGGTGGGTGTCGACCGCAACAAGTACCAGATCCTGCTTCCCCTGCCGCCGAAGATCGACCCCTCGGTTACCATGATGACGGTTGAGGACAAGCCCGATGTCACATACGGAGATGTTGGAGGTTGCAAAGAGCAGATTGAGAAGCTACGAGAGGTCGTCGAGATGCCCCTGCTATCACCAGAGCGCTTCGTCAACCTGGGTATCGACCCCCCGAAGGGTGCTCTTCTCTACGGCCCTCCAGGAACCGGAAAGACCCTTTGCGCCCGAGCTGTTGCCAACCGAACCGACGCCACCTTCATCCGAGTTATCGGTTCAGAGCTTGTCCAGAAATACGTAGGAGAGGGAGCCAGGATGGTGCGCGAGCTGTTTGAGATGGCACGAACAAAGAAGGCGTGTATTATCTTCTTCGACGAAATCGATGCTGTCGGTGGTGCTCGTTTCGATGACGGTGCTGGAGGCGACAACGAAGTACAGCGTACCATGTTGGAGCTGATTACACAACTGGACGGTTTTGATGCTCGCGGTAACATCAAGGTAATGTTCGCGACCAACAGACCTTCGACTCTCGACCCAGCCCTCATGCGTCCCGGCCGTATCGACCGAAAGATCGAGTTCTCGCTACCCGACATGGAAGGCCGTGCTAACATTCTCCGTATCCACGCCAAGAGCATGAGTGTAGAGCGCGACATCCGTTGGGAGCTCATCTCTCGTCTCTGCCCCAACAGCACAGGTGCCGAATTGAGGAGTGTGGCTACCGAAGCAGGTAAGTTCTGGCTGTACGAATTGAATTTGAGAAATATACTAACTTCATACCTTCAGGCATGTTTGCCATACGTGCGAGAAGGAAGGTTGCGACCGAGAAGGACTTCCTGGCTGCCGTGGACAAGGTCATCAAGGGCAACCTCAAGTTCAACTCGACCGCTACCTACATGCAGTACAACTAGACGGCGCCACTTGCAGCGCTGAAAGTAGCTTATGTGTTTACATTAGAAGGCAGCACTGGTTTTGTATGAGTACTCACGATGGTGCTTTTCTTCCACTTAGATGGACAAAGACATAATGCATTTTTCGAATCATTCTGTTCTCTACAGTGAAGTCCTGATGAAGCGTAACTCAGTCGACATGATTTGCGATGAACACAAGTATTGTACGTCTCACATTACTCGTGTATTTGATTAAACGACTCCTTGAATACACGTCAACATAGGTGTGTATTAAAACGCTCCAGAGCCTACAATGACGTTATCTCGCCTACTTTGCATGTTTTCACCTTGATGTATCCTGCAGACCTGTTCGTTTCTTTTCTTGTATGAGGTAAATATGCCATTAAACTACGACTGTGCCGCCAATATCGCACAAATCAACATCAACACCCCACTTCAACCCAGCTGCCTCAGCACCCTTCCGCCATCTTTCAGGCGGCTCAGTAACCGGTTCATAGCTAGCCGAGTAGGCACCACGGAAGGTACCAAAATGCATACCTATACTCTTCTTACTCCTCACATCCCTATGTATAGCCAAAGAATCCTCAGGACTAGAATGCTGACCAGACAAGACAGATCTCGGCTTAAAGCAACCCACAGGCACAAGCGCCAGATCAAAAGGTCCGTACAGCTCGCCAATCTCTTTAAAGGCCGGACAAGGCGGGTGCGGCGCGTCGTGGTGTGAAAATTGATCGTCGGAAAGAACGTGGCAGTACCCTGTGTCTCCCGCGAAGAAGAGTTTCTTGCCAGATGAAGACGGTTCCTTGACGATCCAACTACACCATAGTGTACCGTCGAAGTTCCAAGGCGTGCGTCCAGATCGATGTTGCGCAGGCGTGCATATCAACTCTACGCCTCCAGCACCCTTTTTGAACACAGTTATGCCACCCCACCAGTCCATCTCTTCGACTTGATCAGCCTTGATGCCTGCGCCTAACCCCGTCAGGACAGACTTGACGCCTAATCCGCAGAAGAAGCGCAAGTCGCCGCCTTGTTTCGCATTCAGCTTCTTCAGCGTGTCCGAGTCGAGGTGGTCGTAGTGGTCGTGGCTGATGCACACAGCGTCGATTTCAGGGAGCTCGTCGATGGTGCATGGTGGAGGTGTGAACCGCACAGGACCGACCATGCCGTAGGGTCCTACGCGCTCACTCCATACGGGATCGAGGAGGATGCGCATTCCGCGTTCGTTTCCCTCTGAAGCTGTTGTTTCGATCAAGAAACTCGCGTGTCCTATCCATGTTGCCTTTAACCCGTTCTGCGCATTGCTGAAATCGGGCTTGCGCACGTCGACCAGGCCTAATCGATCGGCGGGAATGGGGACGAAGTTCTTGGGTGTGCTGAACCGCGTTCGGACGGCGGCGATTATGCCGTCGTTCTTATAGGAGGGCCATGGGTTCTTGAAGCTTGTAGGTGGCTTGCCGATGTGATGGGCCGTCGTGTATGTGTCTGGCTTGTGTGGGGGTAGCGGCGTTATGGAGGATGAAGGAGGCATTCTCGATGTTTGGTAGTGCCTAAAAAACAGCGCGAGGATGCAAAGGGCTTGATGTGGGCGCGCATGGCTGGTTGTCGTGTAGATGAGACTATGACGACGAATGGCGGGTGTGGAGGCGGCGATAGGCAGCGCTCGTCGGAGGCCACGTTCGTCCGGTTCACCGTTGGAGGCGCGTTTGGGATTCGAGGGTCGTCTAGGGCTATGAAACCTTCGAGACGTCTATCGATGACTTCACTGCCCTTGGAGCAATGTCGATGCAGCTGTTGAGTTTGTGCGTCTGGTCGTGGAGCGTCATCGAGCAGGTCTGACCCAGCCTAACCCTGTCACCTATCGCGCAACCCACGTTCTGCCCCAGCCATCCTTCAAGACGTAATCCCCAACTCTTTTTGCACAGCGAACAAAAGCCGCAATTGTGGCTGGCCCTACCCACCAATCTTACATCCTAACGCGCATCTCCAGCATCATGGCCTCGGAGACAGCTCAAGTGGGTACAAGCACCAAGGCGTGGCTTGCGTAGCCTTGTTCTCTTATCATCCAATAGGACCGACACGTGAGCCCGTCTAGCTTACATGCAGGTACTGTTCGTCTTTCGCTCATCGCCGCCGCCGGAGCTCTAACCAGGAGTCTGGAAGATGTACCTTCTACATGTGGTAAGCACCGACTGGGGCCGCAGCGGCCTGGGTACGCCGTGGCCAAAATTTTGTGAGCTTTATAGATGTCTGGTTCCCAGCGTTGTTGAACTCGTAGTATCCCTTTACATCAATCAAACTTCGATCTTTACAGTCAAGGCAAGATGAAGGGTACCTTTTCCAAAGCCGGCACTGCGGCTCTACTGGCCACAACGGCAAATGCACAACTCTATCCCGACCAGAGCCCGTTAAACCACACCTGCCAGCTACAAGAACCACTTCTGTCGTGCCCATCGCAAGATCCCTCCAAGGTCGACTCCTGCTGCGTCGAGACATTCGGTGGACTCGTTCTGAGCACTCAATTCTGGAACACATACACCGGCCGCGAGTCTGAAGGCCAGCTTCTCCCCACCGACACATGGACTCTCCACGGCCTCTGGCCCGACTTCTGTAACGGTAGCTACACACAGTACTGTGATCTGAGCCGCCAATACGACCCCATCCCGGGACCGAATACTACAAACGGCCTACCAAACGGCACATTTGTCCCACCCTACAATGGGTCCAACATCGGCACCTTCCTCGAGCCCTTTGGCCGCTACGACCTCTTGGAGTACATGAACACCTACTGGATCGCGTGGCAACAAGACAACCCCGGCTTCTGGGGCCACGAGTTCTCCAAGCACGCCACCTGCTTCTCTACCTTCAACGTCCCTTGCTACGGCCCGCAGTACCGCGAGCACGAAGATGTTGTCGACTTCTTCGAGACGGCTGTCAAGTACTACAAGAGGTTCCCTACCTTCGATTGGCTGGCCGCTGAGGGCATCACGCCTTCCAACTCAACCACGTACTCGTACTCCGATCTCGTGGATGTTCTGTACGAGCAGCACGGCGGTATTCCTTTCTTGGGTTGCTCGGGACCCAGGTACAATGCTACTGATGCTGGCAAGAACACGACGGACAGAGGCTACACTATCTTGAGCGAGGTTTGGTACTACGAACACGTAAGCATCCATTGAGTGTGCACATGATGATTCGATGAATGCTAACATGTTACTAGGTCTACGGTCGCCCTCAGGAAGGCAATGCCATCCCCGTCAATGCTTCTGCTACCTACCTCACCAATTGCGCTACTTCCGAGGGCGCAATTCACTACCCGGAGAGGACCAATGGGTCGGAGAAGGCTCCCACTGTCCCGTTTTAGGAAGACATAGTCGGTTTTGGAATGTATTGTAATGATCAAAATCAATCACTTCGTGAACGTAGGCGAAGTCACTCTTGACACCCACCTTATTCAAGGAGAAAACTAAACACCCTAGAGCCTACATTAATATATCAAGATATGGAGTGTGTAACCCAACATTAATGTAGAGCCTACATTAACATAGCAAGATGCAAAGTGTGTAGCCTAACGTTAACTTAGAGCCTATATTAACATAAAAAAGATGCAAAGTATGTGACCTAACGCTAACGTAGGCTATAGAGTGTCTTGTTTTGTTCCGTGAATGAGATGCATCCGCCGTTTTGCTTCGAGTGCCGCCCTTGCAGCACGTTACGCCTAGACGCATACCTCTTCAAAGTCTTACTTTGAGTTGAAACATTCATGCAGGGTCACGGACATTCAAGTGAATCAATACAGAAATATGAAATCCCTTCATATCAACTAACACTATTGATAGTCTACCAAGTACTAATACAAAACAAAGGCTTTACTTATTCTTTACCCTCACATAACGATGCACCCCTGTCTTCGGATCGAATCTGCTCTCCTAGTTGAATTTACGCGGTTTTCCAGCTGCCTCATCTTCCGGACTGGTGTGTGAGGCAGCTCTGGTGCCGCGCTCTTCCTGCATGTTCATATCCTGAGTCTGGTCCTCGGGATCTACACCACCTTCCTCAGGCGTCTGACGCTCGTCGTCTGCGTGATCTTCCCCTGTATCCATGTCGACGTCTGTTTCCTGCACCCGTGGACTTTGTGTCTCGGAGATTCGGTTCCGCTCAACCTGCTCTCTCTTGATCTGGACTGCCGCCTTTGTTGCGGGGGCGTGGTTCTGCGACCGTGGGTGGACGGTATGATCGGTGTTTTCTTCAAAGACTTGACGAGTGTAGTCTTGTTGTTTCCGTGCTGCGTCGACACCAGCGGGAAACATCTTGCCCATTATCGCATTGTGCTTATCGCTGGCGCTTGGGTCCGCTGCGTAGCCGCTTGGACTCGGCGTGTCCGGTGCATTGGCTGAGGCCGCATATTGATGGTTGGTGGGTGTGAAGCCAGTGGGTGAGTGGCTTGCTTCGCCTTCGTTGCGTGAATGCACCTTGCGGAGGTTAGCCGCTGAGGATTGTGAGCGCATGTCTGGACGGCCGTCTTTGCGAATCAAGACTCCATCTGCATTCCTAATGGGCTTGGTGCGCGTCTTTTTTGCCGATCCAAACATGTCACCCGGCGATCCGAAGCTCATAGCAGCTGTCACACCTTGTAGACCTAGACTGCTAGCACGGTCGCTGGTAGGGTAACCGCCACGACCACCCCCACCGCCACTGCCTCGCCGCGCAATACCCCCTCGTCCTGGTTGCGGAACGTGTTGGTAGTATCCGGACGGACTGATCTGAGAATCGGGAACACCTTGCCAATCAGGCCTTTCCCAATCAGGGGTTCCGAGTGTACCGTGGGCTGGCATACTCTTCCTGACTCTGCCACCCCGACTTCCGGGACCTCCGCCACGACGCCCACGCGGTCGATGCTCAATCATACGCTGCGACTCGGGTTGCCAGCTGGCGTCTGAAGGGCCATCTTGTGTGGCGTAAGGGGCGTAGGAAGACTGTTGCGATTGCGACCCGAGAACAGATTCAGGTACAGTTTGTTGGGACGGTATCGTAGGCGTCTGAAAGCGATGGTCTGTCATGGGAGTTTGTTGCGAAGCCGTGTAACCTGAAGGACCAGCATCAACAAGCCTCTGCCTCTTGGGCGAACCGGGTGCTTGAGTGTTGGCCTCCTGTGGATTCTCAACGCCGTTCTGATGTGTTCGTTTCACTCCCGCGTTGATGGTAGCCCATCCGCCAGCCTGACTTCCAGTGGGACCGGCGCTTGTGGGATTCGGCGCGCTCATAGGTGTCGCCGTAGTGGAGGGAGCGACGAACGACAATTGTTGTGGCTGGCCATTGGTTACTGGTTGGGGTGCTCTGGTGCTCGGCGTCATCGTTGGTGTACTCTGATGCGAGTGAGGTGGGCGTGCCATCGATGCTTGCGGTGCCTGATACGTATATGGCGGTGCTTGCGAGGGCTCAGGTCCGGCGCGCTCTTCGAGTCGATAAATTTTACCCTTCATGATCTCGATAGTAGTACTGAGAAGATCTACATCGCTCGCCTTGTGCGACAAAACATTCATCTGCTGCGCCATTTGCTCTAATGCTGCATTCTGAGCCGCGAAAGATGGAGCGGCATGGGGCGTAGCCGAAACTCCTGATTGCCTCTCCATCCTCATCGTATATAACTCACGATTGATGTTTTGCATGGCAAGGTGCATGCCTTGCATCTCACTTTGTAATCTTTCGGCCAGCGCCTCCACCTTTTTGATATGCTCGTTTTGCTGAAGAAACTTGGCATGGTATTGTAGACGCAGTGCCTCTTCTGTCTGGTCCATCTTCTCCTGTTGAAGCCTAATGTCGCGGGTGTGCGCAGCTAAGGCGCCACTGTTGTGGGACATTTGCGTCTGTATACGCGCCATAGCGTCTATGCTAACGTCTTCTGGCGAACGAGGATAGTGATGGCCATTGGTCTGAGGGACCATTGTTGGCACTTCAGGTGGACCGCTCATTGACTCAATGCCAGGCCCTTGGTGAGACTGAGGAGGTTCTTGACGGTAGGAAGAATTTGACTGCGGTGCAGTGCTCAGCGCGTCTTGAGCAAAAGCGTGTGGGGAGTTCCGTATCGAAGACTGCTTCGATGACGGTGCTGGTAACGACGGTATGTTGTTTCCGACAGGATGCAACGACTGCTGCTGCGGTTGTAAATTACGGTCTTGGGATGGCTCGTACCGCCCGCGAGTGTGATCTGGGTGATCTACAGATGGCGCACGTGAGTCAATCTCCATAGCTTCAGCCGAGGACGCTTTTGGTGTTGCTCTCGACGAGGGAGGACTTGGGGTGTCTTCGTTCGCTAGCAGGTCTTGTGAGGCATCCACTTCAGGTTCGACTACAATGGTATGGTTTGGTGCTGTCTCGCATTGCAGTTCTATGCGACCCAGCTTGAAGAAATCTCGACCACTGTCACAGGTCAACCATCATGCAAGGACTTGAAGGGCCATTGGAGAAGTTACTTACCGAAAGGATCCCTTTCCTGCAGGTGCGGTGACAACAGTGAATCCGATAGCTGTCTTTACGCAAGCCGGATCTGGGCACGATAAAGGCTGAATGGTACTGGTGTTGAGTTAGTCCCAAGATCGCTGTGCGAACAAAATGATAGCAATAAGGAATGCGGGACGTAAAATGCGGGCGTACACGTCTAATAGATGTTAATCTATAATGTGGAAAGATTTCGTGCAGGCTAGCGTCGGTGCGTCTAGAGGAAGAAACTTAAAATACCATGTAACCATCGGCAGCCGGGATACGCCAACTCGTGTGTTGGGGTTTGTTGATAGCCAGCCAAGGCTACAAGAGGGAAAGGTGCGACAAACAATTGTAAAGGGAGAAGGAACCAATGCCATGTCTGGGTTCAGCTTACCATCCTGCTAATTCGGTGCCTTTTGACGCCGCTTTTAGTTTGCCCATGGGCTGTAAGGTAGAACTGTAAGAGCCGAGCATGGCGGGAACGAAGTAGCTGCCGGTGACCTTGTACCAGGAGTTGTAGAAATCTCCAATGCACTTCTGACAATTCTTGCAGTATGCTTTAGTTGCACGGTTGGTGGGCGGGGAAGGTGGAGAGGCCTCATCAGCACTCTCCACAACCTCTGGTGGTGATGGCTGAAGTTCATGTGTATTCATGTCTGACTTCACCTCGCCAATTCCGGATCGCCTGGAGCCCGCCATTGATGCAGCCCATTGACACAACAGTGCCTAGGCGATAGCTGCAAGTGAGCGGAGAGGCTGCACGAAAAGTGCTAGATAGCAACAAATCAAAGTTGGATGAAAGAGGGTGGGCCTAAGCAAGCTGAACTACCGGTCTCGGGTACGCGACGACGCGTCTCAGTCCAGGATAGCGTTTCAGCAAGCGCAGTGAGATTGGAAGCGAAGAGGAAAAAATGGTAGGCCCCAACAAGAATAGGCGGTTGCGGCGGAGACTGGAAGGAACCCTGAAAGACGAGAGCTAATTCAGAGGAGGGAAAGGGCAAGTGAAATAATTAGCAGGAGTTATTCCATGATTAGCCATGCATGAGTCCGAGTGGGGTTAGCGCGCCTCGCTATCAATTTAGATGCGCTCTATTGCGAAAAAGCCCTGAAGCCGTCTCGTGTCGCAAGCGCAACACGCTAGCTGTTCCATCTCGCGCAACAGCCAGATCTCTTCAGCTGTAATTTCGTCCGTCTATCGAATGCGAGCAGTTCCCTACCGTCCGATGTACGCATGTGTCGACGTGCACAGGTATGAACTCGTGTCACAGCATCCCAACACCTGATCGGTAGTCACTATCGTTATGGGGCAGTTTACTCATCCCGGGACCAAGCGCCGGCTATCTTTATTACCATCAAATTGCGACGATTACAGGTTGCCAAGTTTGATCCGCGACATGGGCCAATTAGCATAACATGTCGATGCAGGATGATAGCTATATGTCCGAATTTACATTTGCAGCTATATCTGGGCCAGACTACTCGTTTCTGGCTTTTATCCATGCCATTTTCCATGTCGTCGTCAGCAGCATTGTCCCAACTGGTACCCGCCTCCCATCATGACGGAATGATCGCCGCTGAGGGCACTGCTGTACCGTGGCAGCGATCTCACACAGGCAAAGATGGGATTATGGTTTTACAGAGTTGAATTTGCGCAATCTTCGCCCACTGTGAGGCGGCGAAAAGCTTTGCGCTAATTTAACTCCAAGTAAGGGGAAAGTGGACAGGGATGTTGATTGATGTCATGCAGTACTTGTGCCCTTGGCACGATAGTTATTCGCGTTTAATCCTTTCTACCGATAATTGCAAAACACAACGCATGTTCTAGAAAGCATTCAGCCTCTCAGCCTATGCATCCCGATTATCCGTTCATACGCCACGGCCGAGACTGTCTGTCAAGCGATATGCGCTTGGACACCTCGTACTACGACACGTTGCGTTGCACGTAGTACGCGCGAGGTACGAATACTCGTACTTTACTTGACAACAATAAAGCCAACGCCGTTGCGAGCCTCTTGACAGGCTTTCGAAAGAGCCTGCACCTCCGTATCCGTCCATTTGACACTGAGGTTGTCCCAATTCTTGGTAGCGTATTCACGGCGATACTGCTGTTGCATTGCTTGCAAGCGACGGATTTCTCGAGGGTCGCCTGTCCCACTGTACACAATGAAGGCCGTGCAGCGTGGCAAAGCGTCGTATATCTGCCCGATACGTTCAATGGTCTTGGAGACGGCATCGCCGAGCTCAGGACCGTGAACCTCAACATCTGTGTCCTCGCCATCCTTCAGAAGACCCAGTCGTTGCAAGGCATTCTGTCGAATGAGCTCGACGTCGGCCGTCTTGGCGTCGTCCCACCAGCCTCTTGCAAGCTCCAACTCGCGCAAACGTCCCCAGACAAAGTCGATCTTGTCAGTAGTGCCACCCTTGCCTTCGGCTTGGCCCTTGACTGTACGCTCAATAGCTTCTACTACTTCCTCATCGGTCTTGCAGCCTATGGAAACTCGAGCTTGGCCACCATGACCTCTGTTCGGGTCGCCCCAGTCGATGACAGCTCCGGCACGATGCACGTCGTTTGATTTTGGTCGTACAGAACGATCCATTCTCTTGAAAATAGACTCCGCGTTTGTGTCGCCCGATCCCCAGCGCGGGCCCTTTTCACACTTTTGTTTGACCAGATCGAGACATGTCCGAGCATCTTCCACACTGTCGTGACCTGCTGAGCCCTTTTGCACTTCGCGCTTGAGGTATTTCTGCGCAAGCCACTTCAACGACTGCTTGTATGGCGGCCCACGGGGGTGCGGGTAGAGGATACCAGTGTCGATGATGAAGGGGTGGGTCAGCTTGAGTGCGTTGAGATCAGAGTTTAGCGAGTGTCCCACAAGTATTGTACGCGGTGTGATGAGTTCCAATAGCTCCTTCTGTATGTCCGCTAGAGTGGTCGTGACATCCTGGAGCATGGCCGCTGTAATACCAGACCACTGGGTCAGGTAATCCTTAATGGCGACATCTGGCTTGACAAGCTTGTCGAGGGCCGTAGTGCCGTCCCAGTTCAATAGACTGATGCGAGTGAGTACAAGCTGGTCATTCTCAGCTTTGCACATCTCACAGTCGACGGATATAATGTGTCTTCCAGCAGTCAGACTGCCTTGTTCAATCTCCATCTCGGGTACTTCTGCATCTTCCAAGGCAGCGACATTGGTGTCGACCCATCCATCATCAGCAGTCTGATGAGCTAGCTTCCTTCTCTCGTTATTGGCCTCCTTGGATTCCGATGTGGTGAACATTGCTGGATGTAGCACGTATTCGTTCTCTTGCTGTTCCATTAGACTGGCAATGTATTCGGTAATGCGTGTGCGCTTGTTTTCCCAATTCTTTGAATTCTGTGGCAAGGGGCCTTTGTGGTTCCCTGTCTTCTTCATCTGCTTCTCTTCTTGCGTTTTGGGTATTTGTGAAGTTAGCATGGTATGGATGGGCGAATGCACCCTCATGTATTGGTTGTTGCGATGTTCGCCTATAGCCTTGATGGGCCAGACATGCTCAAAGATATCAGCGAGAGGTTTCAGCGATACAGGCAGTTTTTCGGCCTTGAGACTAGCCGGATAAAAGTCATCACGCGAAATGTTTAACCGCTTGGGCTTTGCTGCCTGTGCATCCTTTACAGCCTTTGCAGCCGTGAGGGCAGCATCAGTCTGCGCGTCTGTTGTCTCTGCTCCAACAGAAGGGTTCGACTGAGGCGCGGCGTCTAGAGCAACATCGCCGTTGAACATGCCCAGGTCCAATCCCGGAACCATAAGCATGACGACCTGTTGGATATTGGCACGACTGCGTACAGAAACCCACTGCGGCGCATTACCGTCAGCAAGCAAGTACAGCACCAGTGACTGAAGGTCTGTGATCTTCACGTGCGAGTTCAGACGGGCATGATGTGAATGCTCAATGGCTGGGTAGCTCCTCTGCAGCTTGCGCTCTTTCCTGCGCTCCTCTCTGGTCATGTTCTCGCTTGACTGCTCAGAGCCAGCTTTGTATGTGACGAATGGGTTGTCGGTGGAGGAAAGGCGATTTCCTAGTTGGGCGTCCTTGCCCGCGAATGGGTTGTCGGGAGTTGCATCTTGCTGCGGCGGTGGCGATCGTGCCTTGCGCTTGCCCTGCCCATCTGTGTCGCGCGAATGGCCAGGATTGCGAGCTGGCGAAGGCGAGTTTGAGGCGCGGCGCCCGTTGTGCTCAGAGTGCGATCCGCGTTCCTTCCGTCTTCTTTTGGAGCCGCTGACTACTGTCCAGCCCTCTTCGTCTCCGTTAGTCGTGGTGGTTGCCGCATTGTCGGATTGCGCTTCGCCGCGCATGTGCGCCAGTGTCGCACCGAGTCCCATATCGGCAGGAGGTGGCTCGTCGCGAGCGCCGCGCTTTCGTTTCGCCATATCAGAGCTCATGCGACCCGCGTGAGTCGATTTGATGGGCGCGAGGTGTTGTTGTGGAGAAGCTCAAGAAAATGTTCGGGGTTCCGGCGCATGGGTACGCGCTAGCGATGGCCCACAGGAATCCACTACTCTTGTCATAAGTCTGTATTCACGTCACTTCACAACGCGCAATAAATTCGTTATACTACAATGAGAACCGCGTTGCAACCTCGAAGAGCCAAGTCTTCCTGGTCTTCGTCGTCTTTGTGGTCTTCGCTGCACAGTTCACTATATACATACCCGCCGACGTCATATCGTCACAGCTGCGCTCATACATGAACCAAGTGAAAGCATCACGAGGAGAAGCATTCAGAGCCATTCTACAATGTGAGGCTACTTAAGAGTCTATCATGGAGGGAACATCGCAAGAAGCAAGAGATGGTCAGTCCTGGAAATACAGCTAGACTGAAACCGGAAACTCAGCAGTGGAGTATATGTCGAATTTCTTGAGCAATATACGAATCACGGAGAGGGTGAACGGTGAAGTGAATCCAAGAGTGGATATCCGAGTGATGAAAGTGATGCGATCTCATGCCGGCTCCGCGCATACTATGATACTCCTTCTTTCAACTGCACAAGACCTCTTCCTTAGACTCTACCTCACCGTCGAACCTCTGTCTACATCTGCATCTATTTCAGCGCGATCCTACAGCAAGAATGCTGACCAAAGACCAGTTCGTTCAGGGTCTAGAGCCACTCAGATGTGGTATCTGTCTGGACGACTACAGTACCGAGTAAGTAACGTTGGATGACCCTTGTTATCACAACACACTGACTTGGATACCCTCTGTCAGGCACGTCCCTGTACAACTTCCGTGTGGTCACATCTTCGGAGACCACTGCATCGTCAAGCAAGTCGAGGCTGAAATGCCCAACAACAATCGATGTCCACTATGCCGCCAAGAGCTTTTCCACCAGGAAGATACACATGCATACATCAGCGACGACTCGGAATGGGGCGATGCCGATGACGAAAACGAGGAGGAAGAATGGGAGTTTGATGAAGAGAGGTATCAGGAGACCCTTGCTGGGCTTCTTCATGACAGTGAGCCAGGTATGGCACACTTCGCCTACTCAGAGCTCAACATGCTTACGGACTCAGAAGGACGAACACATGATCTAGCGCCCAGTGCACTCCACGCTGAGACCATCGCCACGACAATGAGGGAGCGCCTCAATCGCCAGCGGGATATCAGAGAGCATGCCGCGCGGAGGCGAGATGGGGGCAGGGCAACCGTGCCGAAGCTACCCGGATGCACCCGCACGTACAATCAGATTGAAGCGTCTGATGTAGAAACGGATGCAGACTGGTCCGGGTCTGAGTATGAGCCAGAGGGGGACAACGACCCAGCTGATGAACGTGAGGAGTAATTTGACGTCGATGTAGATACCACGGTACAGTTTTGTATGGCACTCGACTTGAGCCAGAGGACATGTAGTAGCCAAGATAACCTTTTGCGAGGCAGTTGCTGGGTTCCAAGAGAAATGTAGCCTCCACACTCTCCTATTGCAAGTGTTAAGCTAGGTTCCGAAAATGATGTAGCCTCCACGGCCCCCTTTGTGATATCATGCAGAACGATCACCAGCCCTGTTGATAACATCTGCCGAATCTGCTATCTTTGTGGATATGAAGACCAACAGGTGGACATGGGCGTAGAATTTAGCCGGCAGGTTGTGTAACATTGCATCGACGCAGGTCAGCACCTACATGGTAAGCTTCTTCGCATTTCTATTTGTACATACGCTCATCTACAGTCATTGTCATAATTCGTCGGTCTGTATCGTTATCCTTTCTATAGTTTTCCTCTCCTGCTATCGACCGCTTCCCTGAGCTTCTTGATAACGTCTCCAGGGTCCGAAGCGCCGAAAACAGCACTGCCAGCAACGATGACATTAGCGCCAGCATCAGCAGCTTGGTCAATGGTCTTCTCGCTTAGACCTCCGTCGACCTCGATCTGTAGCTCTGGGTACTTTTGTCGAAGCGCGGTGACTTTGGGAAGCTCGGACGCCATGAATGACTGGCCACCGAAGCCGGGCTCTACAGTCATGATCAATATCATCTGTGGATGTTAGCATGAAATCTCTACCGAACGTGACGTGGCCTAACACGGGCCTTGGGTTGAGGTTATTGATCCTGCGGGAGCAGCCAGCGGCGTGGGCGGGTAGGTACCGATGTCAACTTTGGGGATAACTGAATTGACAGGTGGCCAATGGATGGACAGTCGGTTGGGCAGCATGCGGCGGGCTTCTCGAAAGAACGCACAGGTCAAGACTGATTGACAGTGGGCTTACGCAGGCTGGTAAGCCTAAGCGCCAGCGCGTGCCGCCCACGCCCCAACAGGGTCAGCCCTACCCAGCCTCGCTTTGACCGACCACTTCTGAGGCCTCTCTAACCACCATATAGCGCGTGCGGCCCTTTCGTGATATCGATTGTGATGATGGAAAGCATGGCGGTGCAGGGGTGATGAACTCACATCCGGAACCTCGTCCTTATTTGGGTTCTCCAGTATCTCCCACAGCACATCGACTGGTGTGCTCGGCTTGATTGCGATACCAGCCTGCATACCCTCGCCATGTATGAACTTGACCAGCTCTTTTGGAGATGTCTTCTGGTCCGACTTCCCACTAGGTGAGTCTGCCGCGGTTGACGAGACGGCGGCTTCGTAGTGGAAGCAGTACAGGTCGCAGCCAGCCTTCTTGAAGTCGCGCACCCATCGCTTGGGCTCGGCGATCATCATGTGACAGTCGAATGTTCCCTTGCCGTGTGCGGTGGTCGGTCGGTCGACGTGTGAGCGGATCTTGGTGACAACGGGCGCGCCAAAGGTCATGTTGGGCACGAAGTGGCCGTCCATGATGTCGACCTGCACGTGTCAGTCGCGTGCCCTCCAGCCCGAAACTCAGCATCGCGTACATGGAGCCAGTCGGCGCCCTGGGAGATTGTGTCTGAACAGGCCTTGCCCAGCGCTCCGAAGTCTGCCGACAGAATCGACGGCGCGATGATGGCAGGCGGTGACATGGCGGGCGGTTCTAGTGCGGTTTCGGTGTGTATAGGTGATCTAGAGAAGCGCCAATGGGAGGTATGGGGAGATTGTGGAAATTGCTAGTGTGACGGAGCTCACGATAGCTTTTTGGTGTTGACGGCATCAGCGTCACGCCTGCCCCTCCATCCATGCCCCGCTGCACGCCTTGGCACGCCTCACCTCTGTTCTTGTTCATGCAGACCATGCAGACCGCGCAGCTCACCACCTCACGTTTCGAATCAACTATGTTTGCTGAACGGGGCCGTCAATGCTCTAAATCGACTGAAACCTTTTCTATTGTTATATCTTGGTGATCGGCAACCGCGTGGCTGGTCGCGTGTTTGTACTGCCGAGATGGCTGCGACGGGTCTCGGCACCTGGTCTTTCCCTCTCACATGGCACGGGATGGCTACATGACAGCCTTGAGGACAGCCACAACCACCGCCTCGCGTCCAACTCGAGGCCGTGAGACAATATCCAGCCCCGCAGCAAGAATCGATTTCGACGAGGCACTATTGGGCGAGTATGCTGTCCAACGCCGCTGCGTCTCGTCATTGGACAAGCGTGCAGAACGCGAGCGCTGCAAATAGCACAGCCCGGCGCTTACAACCAAACACCCAACCACGCCGTGCAGCGCAACGCTCCTCTAGCCCAAAGTTTCTAGCGCATGGTATTGACCTTGCTCTCCATAAACTTACTCTGGCCAATCATGCCGCCTTCACCCTCTTTACCATGTCGTGGCCGACCTTGAGCCGCTACTGCCTCTCCACCCAGACTCGGCCCTCTATGCGAGTGGACGGCCAACTGGCAGTGTAGCTCGGACGAATGCCACAGTAACACTAGCCCACAGTCACTCGACGAGTAGGCGTCTACGCGCGATATATCCTCTGACCATCGCGCCCGCGCCGCATCTACTCTCTTTTGCCATTCACTTCTAGTCCTCTTCCGAGCCCCTTCTTCCGTCAAGTCTTCGTTGATCGAAGCAATTCCATTTTTACCAGTAAGCTGTTGACCAGCGCAGTTTTGGGCTATAGCTCATCTTAATATCGCCTCTATTTGGTCCCCTGTACTTCTGTATTTGGACCCCTACCACCCTCGCCGCACTCCCGCCTACTCGGATTTTCATAGGTATCTTTAGTAATATTAGCACAAGGCGGTGCTCACGTCACCGCAATATACAACATGCCTGAGATGCTGGAGCCTGCAGTATACCATCCTGCGACCTTCGGCCCCATGGCCAACTCTCATCAAGCCATGTCTCCGCTGGATCAGAGACAGGCACTTAATGCCACCGACGACGAGTCCTCAATTCCCACCTACTACTTCGGCGCAAGATATTCGACCTCGTCGATATACCTACCCAGTCCCGCGTCACCAGCCAGCATTGACGACGACTTCCCTACCCCCAAGGCACGCTTATTCGATATGACCCCGCAGCCGTCGCCGCGCTTTCCTGTTCACTCGGCTACCTATCCCCCAGTAGACCGGGCGAGTCGTGCTGACAGCGACTTCGATTCCCTCTACGACATCACCGACGATGAGACTGAGGTGCCTCTCCATGCATCCGCATCAGTCAAGAAGCTTGCGACCCAGCCTAGACAGAGACGCTACCCATCCATCGTCATCCCTTCGCCTTCCGCATGGCCAACCATTGAGAAGTTGAAGAGTGCAAACTCGGCGATGCCCGTTACTCCATCGTTGCTACTGACCCCATCGCGTCGCTTCCTTGAGATGATCGACTCTCACAACCTGCATGTGCCCGAGCACTCAGCAGCCCCGTCCCTGGACGGCAGCCTCACATCAGAAGAGATGGACAAACTCAGTTGCCCTGCCACCCCAGTCTCGCAACGTAGACGCGGATCCATGTCCAGTGTTGACTCGTGGGGACCTGTGCAATTGGACCTACAAGCTATGGAGACTCTTCAGCATCTCGGAAACTCGCCATCTGCTGAGCAGTACGAGGAACCAGAGCAACAGGAGTTTCAAGTGGTTGAGGCTAGAGGCGAGATGCAAGAAGTCTCCCGACCAAGTCTCGGCTTAAGCATCCCTTCAACAGTGTTCGGAAACGGTTCCTCTGGTAGCACACCAATTTCCGCGCTCTCTGTCCCTTCTCCCGGTGGTTTCTTCTCATCGCTTCAATCGACTGCTCGTCACACCTGGAGTATCCCCAAGCGCGATGAGTCAATCCCAAACACTTCAACTGCTGAAAGGTTTTACAACCTTCCATGGCAGAAGGAGAACCGAAGGAACACTTCCCCACACCCCGTGCCAGCTGTACCAGCTGTGCCAGTTCTCCCGGTACGAAACTCGACTCTTGCCGGGTCCACTCTCGATGGACACGATGAGCCTCTGGCGACATCGCGCCCAGTCCTGCTTAGCAGCCCAACCGATGAGAACGTGGAGATCAAGGAGATCAACCCTAGCAAGACCATTTTTCAGTATGACGAGAACTACAACGCCGGACTTCAAAAGGTGTCTACTGCTAACCTCGAGATGACCGGCCGATGGTTGGAGGAACAAGATGAGCTACAGGCCGCTCTTCGTGACATGAGCGACATTACCTCTCCCAGCCTCTCCAGCGGAACCCACAGCCGCGGCAACTCGATCGAGAAGACTGTGGTCAAGAAGTCGGTCAAGTTCGCGGATGAGCCGGCCAAGTCTCCAGTCAAGGAGTCGGCGGATGAGCCCATCACCACCTACGTCCAAGGCCTTGAGTACCTTCACTCTCGGTGCCAAAAGAAGGATACGTTCATCCACCGCCAGACTCGCGCTGAGGCTTTGCACGTACAGCGACGCTGCAATCCTCTCGCGCATCGCGATCAGCTCCTGGGAAAGTTCGAGCTTTGCCAGCCAGAGCGCCCAGCGCCACCGCGACCTGTGTCTGAGTTCTTCGTCAATGACCCAACTGTACTAAAGGAGAGAATTGCGCGCGCACAGACGGAGCGTCAAGCGCTCGACCAGATGCTGCCCGTCCACTGGGTCTTGCAAGCTCAGAAGCAACTCAACGGTGGCAAGCTTCTCAGCAAACCTGCCGTGCGATGCATCACACGCGCTACTGCTCCACGCATCCTCGACGTTGGTGGTGTCGCTACCAACGATTGGGCGTGGGATGTTGCCTACGACTACCCATACGCTACAGTGACTACTGTCTACACTGCGGGTAACAACATGTCATCCAACGTCAAGGGCCCCGACAACCACAAGCACCTTACCGTTCCCAACCTGTGGACTCTTCCCTTCCCATCTGGCCACTTTGACGTCGTTTCGGCACGCACACTTTACGAGCTCCTCAAGACAAGCAAGCCTGTCGGCAAGTCATCAGACGAGTACGACCTGTGCTTGAAGGAGTGCTACCGCTGCCTCAAGCCCGGTGGTATTCTTGACTTCAGCGTCATGGATGCCGATGTTGTCCATGCTGGCCGCAACGCTCAGGCCATGGGTGTCGAGTTCGGCTTCAACCTGAAGACCCGCGGCTACGATGCGCAGCCTACCAAGACATTCCTCCCGCGCGTCTCCAAGGCGGGCTTCAAGGACGTTCAAAGGGCGTGGATGCTTCTTCCCATGGGAAAGACGGCAGCGAACTGGAAGGACACACTTGCCGTTGGCGCCGAGCCAAAGCACCAAGAGCGTCGCATCACAGAAGACGGCGAGATCGAGCTCGAGGACGCGCCAGTCTTTGGTACCACCATGGATGCGGCGATGTTGACAGGCGTAGTTGGAAGCTGGGCATGGGAGAGGTGGCTGCTCAGGTTGCAAATGGAGATGGGCAAGGATGAGGAGAAGCTATTGGAGGGAGTTGTCAATGTGCTAGAGGAGGGTGCACAAGGCCACGCTGGATGGAGGACTTTGTCCGGCTGGGCGAGGAAGTAATGGCAACGGGATTGAACATGATGTGATACAGTTACGATGGTTTTGGGTAGACGGATAGGCTGGACTGGACTGGACTAGGTTGATACCACAATAGCGAATTTCTTTTGTAGATGAATTGAAGACAGTTTCTATCACATTCGTCACATTTGGTTGTCTGAGTGTCTGCCTATCAATGTGATGGTGATGCTGGAGTGAGAGACATGGCGAGGCGGCAGATCAGCCTCGCTCGCAGCGGCGCGAACCCCACGCGGCCCATGCGCAGCGCATAACCTCGTCACTGTGCCATGTGCACCGCAAGTCGCGACCACTTCACCCAACTTGCGCTTAGCTGTATCCCGACGTCTCTACCCCAATCCTTTTTCTCACATATACACAATGCTCTTCTTCAGGTGAGTCCCCGGTCCACGTCGACAATGACGCAACAGCGACTGACAGCGCAATAGCTTCTTCAAAACGCTCGTCGAGCACGAAATCACCGTCGAACTCAAGAACGAAGTCCAGATCCGCGGAACACTCAAGAGCGTGGACCAGTACCTGAACATCAAGCTGGACAATGCAGAGGCGGTGGATGAGTTGAGGTGGCCGCATTTGGTACGTTCGGGCATCGCGACTCTCTTCTGCGTACGGACCAGACAATGTGCCAGAGAGATGGCGAAGTAGACTATGGGAAGACGTTGAAGCTAACTTCACAATAGTGCTCGACAAAAGACATGTTCATCCGCGGTTCCGTCGTCCGATACGTACACCTTCCTTCCGGCGCTGTCGACACCGCACTACTCGAGGACGCGACAAGGAGAGAGGCTGAGGCGGCGAAGAACAAGGCGAAATGAGAAAGGAAGGATACCAGGTGCTAGGATAACGCGTGATGATGCGACCGTTCGAGCGGCAACATGAGGAGGGCAAGACGCGCGTGGGCAGACGCAATGTGATATGACAACCCACGGTATATAAGAGCGTGGCCAGGCGCAAGAGCTGGAATTCTGGACCGGGAGTAAGCGCAGAGGTTGCGCAAGCACGAAGAGCGCTTGCAGAGCTGGTGATGTGAATATACCCTTTGATGAGTACGAGGTGATGTCCTCGCCCATCTTTGTTCTCGCTACACATCTCCTCTTTCTGCTCGATGGTTCTACACGCCCTGCTTCGACTCTTTCCCAGCTCACGCGACATGAACATTGCCCATTCAAGCCCATATCTCACATGGTCATCCAAGTCAACTTGCTCTTCCACATATGTGCGTTCCTCCTTCTCTTTGCCTACCCACAACTATGGCATCAAACTTTCGACATCACGAATGGGCCTTCTCTTTTGTCGTCCGTGTCGCTTTCTCTGTGCATTATCTCTCGTACAGTCTCTATCTCCAAGAGACGAATCACTGTTGTGTGTGCGATTCGATATTTTGGTTGTCATCCACTCCATCCACTGGTACTGCGATAAGGCAGGGCAACGACGAGCCACCCACGACTCCCGCAATACATCACCATCCCATACACAAAGGTTTTCCTCAAATGAGAGAGATCGCAATTATCCGACCCCAAGAGACGAGGCCGCTCGTGTCCCCCTTCCCTTTCACCTTTTTTCGTAGCAAACGAAACATGTCGCGTAGAAATTACGCTCACCCACAGTCCTCTCCACTGGCAAATTGCGCATCTATATGACTCCGTCTACCCCTAAACAACGACAACACCCCAACAGCTCTTCCGCCGGTTGACGTCCACGCACACACTTTCAAAAGTCTCCAAATCAGTCCCTTCTAAACAACACCCCACGCAACGAACATACTCGCAAAAGCGACGGACGCCCTCAACAATCATGGCGCCCATCTCCTACCCATCTCCCACTGCCTCAGCCACCCCAGCGCCTTCTCTGCTTACTCGCTCCGCACTCGAATCCCTGTCCTCCGAAACCCTCACCCCAACAGCCATCGGCCTCATATGCGTAGTCGGCACCATTGGCATCACCATCTACATCATCAGCGCCATCATCTATTTCCGCACCAAATCAATCAGCCTGCCCCGGCTGTTCCGCAAGGGCGCGCACACCGACGAAGAGAGCAACACGGACGGCAGGAAGGCAGCCATATCCATCTGGGAGCTAGGCGTACCACTATATGATCGAAGTGGTGTTACGACGACGGCCAATTCGGCGTTTGGAGATGCGTATCCTTCTGAGGGGACTGCGGTGAATGCTGGGCTGGAGAGGGAGATATTGGAGATTCTGGAGGCGGAGGCGGAGGTTAGGGCTATGTCGAGGGTTGTGGTGAGGTATTGAAGGGGTGAACAGGGGAGTGATGGTGATGGGAGGGTATTGGGTAGTTTTAGAGACGATGGGCACGAGCGTGAAGATGTGAGTGTTGAGCTGGTTGTGTCATGCGTTTGGATTTGAGCGACGGGTGTTGAAGTTGTGCTTGGATATACGTTGCTCGAGTGTTCAATATTTTCTGCTCGCTACTTTTTGTGCTTCCGGTGTCTACCTAGGTACCAAATGGGAACTACGATGAGATGGGAAGAAGCAGACGGGGCAAGTAGTCAGTAATAGTTGTCACACCCAAATTTCGTCTACATGCCTGCCTTCTTGTACACATTCAGAAGATCAATCGTGCCTTTTCCATCCCTCGCTATCTAGGCCCAAGGATCTTCCCGCACAACAACCTCAATAGTCTCTTTCCTACCCCCAAGCATTTCACTTCGCCTCGGGTTGAATTTCGACATCAACCGCTTCCTCAACGACTTCTCATCCCGTCTCTCCTTCTTCTCTCTAACAAGCTTCTGCTTCACTGCCTCCACATCCTCATCAGACGAGGAAGAGCTCCAGTGGAGAGTCGGCGCAGTGTTGACGCGCCACGCCTGAATGCGCTCTTCGAGCAAGGGCGAGACGTTGCGTCTCTTTTGCAGAACGTTCCTGGTATGCGGTTGCGTGGTCTCTAGAGACTGGAACAGTGAGGTCGCTGCTGTTGTGGTGAGAACGAGTGTCGCGACGAAGATGAGCGCTGCTTTGGCGACTATGCTCAGGCCGCGCTCGTTGTGTGATGTGAAGAGTGCGGTGAGGAAGCGGGTGATGAGGAGGGAGAGGAGCATGCATGGGAGTACGAGCCATGCGGATGGCTGGGGTTGCGACATGGTGGAGAGAGCAGTGATGTGTTGGTGCGCAGCAACAAGGCACCGTAGTCGAGAATTGGCTTGTGAGAAGGCTCATAAACTCCAAGGTCACTGCGTTAGTCTTGCGGTTTGGTAGAAATCGGATTGGGCGGAGCTAACGGCGGGAGTGTTTGGCTTCTGGTTCATTCACTTCTTAGTATCGACTACTTTGGTATCTATGGAATGAAAATCACTCATCTACTTTTCACACGTTGCTATATTGTCTCACAGTTCGCTTCAAACATTTGCAATTAGGCAGGCTACCTAGGTACTTTTCAAACTGTCTATTCGCACTCGTTGCATCTGTTCCACCTACTAGTTCGCACCCATTCTTTTCCAAGCCTTCCAGCTTTCTGCTAGTCGCCATACGTGAATTATGACGTCGCTGGATGGAGTAGACGCGCGGTTACCGTTTGCCTCAAGGCCTTCAGGGCTGCCGCCAAAGAGGGGGTGGAGACGCTTGTGACCCTGGTGCATCTGCCATACGATGAACCAGAAGTTCACCGATATTATAGCATGGATGAACCAGTAGAGGATCTCACTTAAAGCTGGTACGAGCATGTTGAGTCTTTTGGGTTTGCAAGGAGTCGCGTGTAAGAAAGCTGTTTTTCAGGGTGGTTGTATAGGGAGACTACACTGTGAAATTATCGGTTGTGATTACACCAACGCGGTACTATGGAACATACAGCGGTTGCCTGTAGATCATGTTTTGCTGAGCTGAAGTGAGTGCAGCGGCAAGTGCATACACACTGCTCCGGCGCGCTAACAGGGTCGTCGTTTACTTCTTCGTACCTAGATCAAGACAAGACTCACACCATCACGTCTATATTCAAAGATTCTTGCCAGCTGCTCACTAGCTGTCATCATGGAACTTCACATGCCAATCACTGTCTCGAAATACACCCTTACTCTCGTGGCCTCCATGGCCATTTCGGCCCTCAATTACAGCGGCCTCATGAAAGTTCCACGCATCGTCACTCTTCTCGCGAGTCCAGCGATACTACTGCTTCATTTACTCTGCGAATACGCACAAATCCGGGAGTTGCAAAGACAAACAGAGGAGCTGAGGGCGAAGACCAGACGTTACAAAGCGCAGAAGATCGCCTTGGAAATCGCAATCGAGGAATTATGCGACGGATTTGACGACCTGGATAACGAGGCGAAGATTTTGGTGATCGAAGAGACGATTAAGATGCTGCAGGAATTTGCAGATAGGACTGGAATATTGGAGGACTAGGAAGGAGGGCGGGCAGTTGGGAAAGGGCGCAGAGACATCATATTATCTATGGAGCAGATTTCTATAATGCCAGTTCAAATCTGTAGACGCTTTGCGTATACTGCATCGATTGCTATCTGCGCCTGAATGTAGCACTTGAGGACCAGAGACAAATGTGGTACCATGAGCCACGTCATCTCAAGAATTGCACATGCAATCTCAGACTGTTCATAAGACTTCTACACATCCGTGTCTGCTCATAATCCTACTCGCCTCATAACCTCCAAGACTGCAGAGTGTGCTCGCGGCTAAATCACCGGGATGTTACTGTGAAGGCACATCATCCTGCGTACCCATTCGGGCATCTTGGCCATCGAAACTTGTTTTCGCCTGGACGGACAGTGAAATCACACCCTCCACCAGCGATGCACCTGTGGTGAGGTCGGAATTGACTTTGTGTACGACATTAGCCTGCAGGAACATGCTATATCCAACACGACGCTAATGATCGACGCAGGGATGGGGTACGCGCCGCATGCATGTGCGGTTTGCATATTGCCGGACAACATCAATATTGTGAACAGCCGAGGCTTTCCTCCTTGGGCGACTACTCATCCCGGTGTCCGTCGGAGGGATGATGCCATGTTCGT